CGTCGGCAAAAGGTGGCTGTTATATAGTGTCCATGCTTGCCCACGTTACACTATATGGCATATACCCCAAATCCCTTATCCCCAGCGGTGTAATTGATAACTATGATGTGCACGCACGTGTCAGTGTGACAGATGGCGTACATTATGCTAACATGTTCATAATGTGTAGGGTAAGTTTTGTGGAGTGAGTCCACTCTCAAATCAGAAGCATCATCGCTTAACCAAATATTCAACGTTGGAGTAAGTGATTTTGTGTTATATATGTATAAGTGTTTGTGGACTGAATGCTTCACAATAACCCCTGTCTTACGTGTTCTTGTCCCTAACGCTGTCTTATGCCGCACCAATCGTAGGACAACAATGGAGTGGATTGCGGATACTTACCACTTCACACGTTTGCCCAGGTCGTTGACTTCATCTTCTACAATCGGCATATGCAAAGGTATTATTGTTGCTTTCACGTACCATTATTTTCATACGTACACATGCTCACGCGTTCCTATTGTAACATGCAGTGAAACGCTGCTCCTGATGTTGGGTCAGATTGCATGTCGAGACCATCTAATGAGTCTGTCTCCCAGAATTTGGATAAGTTCTGAGGTATCATGCTAATTAGTACCTCCTAACTTTAAATGCGGTCCAAGTAATATGTGTGGCAATTATAACAAAACTGAATTACATCCCTCATGTTGTGCTGCAAGTCATCAACTGTTATGCTGCTTGGCTAACTTGTCGATTTCGGCGACTCAACCCATTTGCCACGGCAGCAACATGGTTTCTCCCTGTAGTTGTCTAGGTACGCATAAGCCATTTTTTGGGCTGTGTTTACAAAAGGTAGGTTATACGGACGCCAGTTATTGAACATATGTATGAACATGTTTTAGCTGTACTTAAACACGAAGTTGAAGGTCCTCTTGAACTTCCTGCTTACCCAAATATTCATTGCCCAACACATTTATTTGCAGAGTTAATTGTGCATCTTATGTTGTGCACATGCTATTTGACATTCCACCTAGTCAACGTTCAAGTGTGTGTAATAAGCATGTGTCACCATCTCGTCTACTTTGAAGCATACATGAACAGCATATCTATTAAGTTTACGTAAGGCATGTCCACCCACCCAAATATTGTTTCTGCTTCGTCTCATTAACTGACATTTTCTTTCGCGAATAGCACCTGGTATTGTCAACCAATGTGGCTGCCAAGACATTGTATATGGACTACCTAACAGAGGCATCGTTTGGCGGACCTGTGTATGCCTGCAGCAAGGTATGGCATACAAGTGGCATAGGCATTTGTTCTGTCTGTTGGATGGTTTTGAAGTTACAGCAGACTTGATACTTTCACATACGATTGTCTGTATGGTGTAATCATAACATGTTTTGTTTCTTGCATTCGTGGCTTGCAGATTTGTGTCCCAATGAACCATCGATGTGAGCACCAGTTCCTCTGCATCGTAGACATGACCGACGACAGAGTACTTATATACGATAGTTTGCCTGATGAAGAACAAAATGCTGGCCGTGAGGCAATTACATGATTAGTTGTCAGTTTGTCAGCACTCATCCACTCACCCACCTCAACATAGTATTGTTTGACATTAAGATGTACCTCCTCACTTTCAAGCCATCTGATACGAGTCTAGTTTAGTCAAAAATCATAAGTCCTGCCTTTGCCCTTTCTCCAACCCACCCCAACTAATGTAATATGTACATATGTTTACTTATAAGCCAGCACATAAGATCGTAATTCTTTTTTCTTGCTTTCACTCCATGTAGCTGCGCAGAATTCACGAGGCTCTGTTGTTCAATTTTGGACCACGGTACAAGCAGAACATGTGGCAGTTTCCCATTGAAAGGGCATCGTGGTGTCCTCGCCAAACCAACACGTTACGACTCTAACCTTACACTTTATACGGTTTCTCAGTCCAACCTCCCTAACCCATTGCTTACTTTGTTTTAGGTTTGACTGCGGACTATACATTATGAAGTTCATGGAGCACATAAATGAGTTTCATCCGGGATTGAATCTTAAGGTTTGACATAACAATAACTGCGCCTTATACAAATGTCTCATCTGCTGCCTTTCAAAACATTAATGCTCTATTTATGTCACCACAGTTAATGTCAAGTCAAGAGTGCTTCAAGATAGCCGTTAACATGTTCCTCTTCGAATATAACGTAGCAATGAGGGCGGTCGTGCTGAAAGGTGTGCTGGGGTTCGATCATCTTCTTCATGTTGCACTTCCCGAGCCACCAATATGAATGGAGAGATTTTGATTAATCTGGCACTGTATGTAGGAGGAACAGTAATTTAATGCAACTTATATGTTAATGGCAGTGGGTGAACAATATTTTGGGAGGCAATGTCTTCAAGTGGCTGTTGTGCGAGTGCTGAGAGAGCAAAACAACGGAAGAAGCAATGCACCTATGTAAGCGGTAGGCTTTTTTGTGTTGGCCATAACATTAGTGATTATGGACAACTTACCAAAACAATTATATAATTATAATTCAAATTATACTATTATTTAACTGTAATTTTATTTTTAATTGTATTATTGTTATCTGTGAATTTGTTTTAACTGTTATCTGTTGGTATCCTACATTTATGAAAGGTAAATGGGTGGATTATACATTTAACGTCAATTAAATATGTAAAAGTAAATCACTCATAAAGAGCGGGTGGTTTGTTCATATGTTGGAGGAGTGCCATAAAGAGCAGGTGTGTTATGGTAAATTGGGCAATTCATGCAGCAAAACTGTAAATTGGTAGCATTTGTATGATGAATAAATGAAAAATGGATATAATAGTGGATGTTGCTGCGGTATGTTTATTAGTCCAAGAAGAGGTGTGGAAAGGTGGGGGAACAGGAGGAGTAAGTGATTGAGACCACAAACGAGTAAGGAAAGTATGTTGGACGGCCACAAATGGGTACTCTGTCACTATAATATAAGAAAGTCATAAAGAGCAGATCTTTTATTCATCAACAGGTTAATATTCTGTTTTGGTATACATAATTTTATCATTTACGGCACCTTGGGTCGTACGTCGTTGTAATGTAGACTAACCATAAAGAGCTGATTTTTTGTTCAACAACGGGTTAATTGTCACTCTATCCGATAACTAAATTAAAATTTAGTTATCTATTGAGTACTTTGTTGTCATACTGGAGGAAAGCCACAAAGAGCTAGCCTTGTATTGGAATTTCTCTTTTCCTTTCACTTTTTCCGGTGTTTAAATCTTTGCTTAAGGAACAGGGGTGCTCTGTTGTTACAGTGTAGGAAAGTCATAAAAAACCGGTCTTTTATTCAACAATGGGTTCAATTTTAATTAGCGTGTACTTAAAACATCATTTACGGCAGCTTGGGTACTACGTCGTTGTAGTTGACAAAAGCCATAACAAGCAGGTTCTTTACTCAACAACGGGTTAATTTTCACTCACTCCGATAACTTAATTTTGCTTTAACGAAAATGGGTACTTTGTTATTATACCGGAGGAAAGCCCCAAAGAGCTTGCCTTTTATTGGAATTTCCCTTTTTCTTTCACTTTTTTCAGTGTTTAAATTTTTACTTAAGGAACAGGGGTGCTCTGTGCATGCAATGTACGAAATCCATAAAGAGACGGTCTTTTATTCAACAGTGGGTTTAATTTTAATGAGCGTGTACTTAAAACATCATTTACGGCCCCTTGGGTACTACGTCCTTGTAATTGAGAAATGCCATAAACAGTTGGTTTTTTGTGGCATTTCTAGGTTAACTTTCATCCTATCCGACAACTAAATAATCAATTAAGGAAACTGGGTATTCTGCTGTTATAATGGAGGAATTGTTACGTCGGACCCTACCTTTTATTCAGCCACCGTGCTATTTTTCCAACTGTATGTGATTTGGTTTGTGTGAACACTGTAACATACTGAGATGCCGATCGCCAAACATGGTAATTTCAATCTGTACGCAGCCTTAGCACTTACAAAATTTTTGGTTTTCAAGGGTGTATTGTTTTCGTTTTCGATACAGCTGTTTGGACCGAAACATAAAAATGGTATCAGACATACTCTGTTATGACGTAACCAAACAAAAACTCGTTGGGCGGCAGTAGAACGGGTGGGGAATTTTTCCACACCCGGAAGGAAAGGCCCCCCCATAAAGAGGTGGTTTTTTATTCAACAACGGGTTCATTTTCACTCTATCCGATAACTGAATTTCTATATAACGAAAATGGGTACGCTGTTGTTATAATGGAGGAAAGCCACAAAGAGTCGGGTAGCTAATTATGGTCACTGGATATGCTAATTAGTTGTTAGCTTGCTCAAATGTTCCTTTCCATACATAAATTTTTTTACAATTAATCTAACACCATTACTTATGTATTTAATATACTTCTAACTTCACTACAGTAACCATTCATGTTGATCACTGCCTACGATTTTCCTCTTTAGCTTGTAAATATCATCTTTTGTTCTTCAATTTCATACACTTTTAACTATTTTGGTGTTCTGTTGATTTTGCATCTGTATGAAGTACTAACGTTAAGTACGTTTATGTATATATGTAGATTGCTAAATATAGACCGTAACGAGCCTTGCAGACTACCGTGCAATGTCCTCCGAAGGCATAAAAAACCAATCCAATATGATACTCCTCACCTTTTGTTGCATCACCGGATTTTTAGAAATTCGTGAAACTAACTTCATGAATCATTCCATCAACTCCACAACAACCTTGATCAAGGGGCAAAAGTAGCAAATTACATTTTCATTCATTTATATCAAAAGAGTGAAACGTAGTTGTTCATTCAGTTCCTAAACATAGTATAATGCAGTTGGTTACAAATTTGTGCGTAAAAACGATTTGCAAACATTGAAACTTAGACATGTACTCTCCTCTTCGTCAATTTCATCCATAAGCCAACCTCTTTTTCTGTTATGTTGCATGGCACAACAAATGGGCCTTTGGCTTAGAACCAAAGAAATTTGTACCCAAATCATCTTCAGAATCCTTCACAAATTGTCATGGCAATGTTTCACTCTCCGTTTCTGAATTCTTGATTTCTTCATGGCGCTAAGCAGAGTCATACCTTTCCGCTTTAATTCATCCCCACCAAAGACGAAAATTATTCCCAAGGCATAGGCAGCTTCGTCATGGCCTGATCTCGCAGCTTCTTCTAGGCATTCCAATGCTGATTCTGGATTGTTACCTCTAAAATAATCAACCTAAACAGTTCAAGGTTGAAAGTACAATGTTACCTAAAACTGCTTAAAATATTTACAAGACAATGAAAATAGGTTAACTGCATGCAGAACATCATTAGCACATAAGGTTAAAAACAAAATCATCAGGACACAAGCTGATTTCCCAAAGTTACCAATGAAGACATAGGATTATGGATTTTTACGAACAAAAGGGCACTGATAATGTTCGTGTATGATTAAAAGATTAATGTATTTGACATCAGCAGATGTTTTATTTTTTTCCTTTGGTAAGACAATACTATACTTCAGCTATGAATAAATAATTTCGTATCTTTTAAGGCAATCAATCCATGATCTCTTTTGTTTCTTGCTTCTAACGTTCCAAAGAAACCCAAGTTGTCCTAATGTTGAGCTGGAATTATAATGTCAAAGACTAAACTGTTCATTCCTAGCTTGAATTCAAAAGGCAGAATATTCAAAATTAACAAAAAAACATATTGCTTACCACCCTTTTTCGATACAAGGCTTCTGGATTTTTACTTCGTCTGCACTTGTCCAAGAACATGGAAACTTTATGATTTTTACGCCATGGACTGATTTCAAACTTGTCGAGGGACACACGCTGGTAAATATAGTTTTCTTCAGAAACTTCGCAAAACACCTTACAACTACAACATAACAATCATGATCCATCAAACTTAAAAGAAAATCACGTGTAAAACAAAATAAAGTTGCTCATGGTCGTATCATTAATAGCTGCTTGTACCATAGTTTTGCCCGAAAAAGATCAGTGGATGAAGAAACTGCGACACGTGCAAGAACCTCGGATACCAGCTCTTTGGGAAGGGAGGAGATGGAGGTTATTGTCTGCAAATTACCCGCGTTGGCCATGTCCGGTTGCTTCCTTTTCTTCGCTACACACAATCCCGGATAGCCCCAACAATGAAGTCAAATTTTTGCAACCACCATTTGATAATCAAAATAAATAATGCTTCATCCGGTACAACAACCTAAATTTCGCTTGTTTGTGGATAACACTCTGGTTTGTGGGCTTGCATGGCTTCAAGTTTCAAAACATGCTCCAAGTTACGTAATGTCATATCCGAAAAGTAAGCTTCATAAGTTTTGCAATTAATTTCCAAAACGGATGAGGATTAACACTGTGACATAGCATGTGAAATTTTTCTGTTTTTTGTATGTGGGTTAATTAAGGAATCTTCTACAAACAAAACAAACCAAAAAGGAATTTGATGAGGCAGCGGAGTGGGAAAGTTACCACTGCATTACTGCAACTACAGTGCATATTTTGACAAATACGTTATTTCTTCTTTCGATGATAGAAAGTCCTCAGACATAATTTTGGGGAACGTCGCAGCATAGCAATAAAGCAACAATAATGGTAAAATGGTGATTTGTACTGAAGACGAAATAGCAAACGCACGTGAAAAAACATTCATCCCAAACATGCAAACAACACAACAATCTAACTCTGAATTGGGTACAATTTTGAAGAAACGAAACCATACAACGATATCAAATACGACAACAGTATTGAAGTGTAGTTATCTGTAAAACGTGCAGAAACAAGCAAAGTTGGTGCCAATATGATAGCTAACCAGGATGAGCACGTACCTGCAATCAATCGTCAAAGGAATTCCAAATGCAGCAGAATCACTTTGGTAGACTAGGCCCGCCCGATCCAGGTCAAGTAGAAAGTCACGTCTCCTTGCGATTTGCCTGCCTGACTCCTCAACTATTGGCACGGCCGTCCTAATTGGAACCCAAAAGGCATATACCCCCTCACAACACAGGAAAACTTATTATGACGGCGTAATGACACTTTACCCCCTCGAATTGGTACATAACATGTAGTATTTTGAGAATGGGGGAATGGAAAATCAACAACATTCTGATTAAAAAATTATGGTACTGCACATGTTCAAGGGAAAAGCGTGCAGAACATCTTATTAAACAGAGTTTCAACTTTTTGGTGTCTTACTTTTAAAAGTGTAATTTTACATCCCTTAGAAATTAACATTGGTCAATGTTGGTCCCTATCTACTTTTTCCACCAACTTCCGCTGAAATGTACCACATGTCTTGTACATGATCGTTTTCCTGGTTTAAAATTATCAAATTCATTACACATAATCTGATCCGTTGTTCCTCACATTGCACCAAGGTGAGGGATTTTGTTCGTCCCCCAGATTTTACAAAATTTATTTTTCCATCACTCACAATACGTTGTTGCTAGGTTTACCCGATATTATACATAGACCTTTAATACAAATGTTATTCATGGTAAAAAAAGCATGAAACGAGAGCAGAACACCGCGGGAAAGTAAATTTAAAAAAAAAAACAAACAGCAGGGAAGGCTTAACACCTTCGCATTTAAACTTCAAACGACTGGAACGAAATTTAGCCAACTCTGGGTCCGCATGGGGTCCAATTGTACAGGCATTCATTAGTCTAAGCAACCGTTTGGTAAAACGGTTTCGAATGGGGAGCAGTTGCATTGTATAACTAATATTTTTAGAAGTATGTATTTATTTTATAACATTTGTATATGTACATTGGACTAAAATATTTCATTTACTAAGTTACACACAATTAATGATATTATTATTAATTATACAGAATTATATAATGTATATTAATGTACGTAATGTAATTGATATTATGAATTATACTAACAATTAATAATGTTTATCGGTACAAATTACAATTTAGTTTTAATCAATTTAGAAATACATTTTATACAAATATGTTTAATGAGTGCAAATTTCATATATCCCAGTTCCAAAGAGCCAACGAACAAGATAGCAACTATAGTAACGATAAAAATTCATCACACTGAACCAAACAACATTACTGTCATCATTGAATCCATTCCAAATTCAAGATGAATGTTATGATTCAGAGTAAAATTGGCATAAATAGCTACTATTTGTTGATGTAATGCATCAAACCCATTGGGAGCTGGTATGTTATGGCCAATATCTTTTTTTTTTCTTCACATTTAAAGTTTGTTAAATTTAGAATCTACCAGTTTCGTTTTCATACCAAACCATTAATGTGACACTTTTTCAGTTTTAGTTACGAAAATTATTGTGTTTAACAGAAATTAGATGTTTCACAGTAACATGCCCTTACAGGGCCGAAAATGTCTTCATGTAACGGAACCCCGAAGTCATAAAGAGTTATTACCTGGTACACCATTTCTTTTTACAAAAATTTTTAATTTATATTAAATATATAACCTACCCGTTATATATTTTGATACGAATATTACTGTAACACTTTTTATATGTTACTTACAAACATTGATGTATTTGTCATAAATTAAATGTTTGACAGTGCAATGGGTATCAACAGCTAGTATTTTGAATACCTAATGCCCTTTTGCGTATAAACAACTCCAATTTATTAACATTCAAAAAAGGATTCAGCACTTCAACTTTTCAAGTCCCCTGAACCGTCTACACATTATAACATCTGAAATCAAAATAGATTACATAATTACAACATTTGTGCTTGGCCTCCAAAAACAAGGGAACTCTTTCGTTAGAATGGAGGAAAGCCATAAAGAACAGGTGTTTTATTCGAGGACACCATTTTTTTTTAAATTCTATCTGATAAGTGAATATGTTTTTCGCTCCACAATGGGCACACTTTTGTTGGAATGGCAGGAAAGCAATAAATTTGCTAGTGCTATAGTGCAAAACAAAAAAAAATTTTTGGGCCTCGAAAAACAGGGGAAGTATCTCGTTATAATAGAGGAAAGTCATGAAGAGGTGGTGTTTTATTCGAAAGCACCATTTTTACAGAATATGTATCCGATAAGTGAATATGTTTTTTGCTCCAAAATGGGTACATAGTCTTTGGAATGGCAGGAAAGCTTTAAACTTCGTGGTGCTTTATTGCAAAACACAAATATTTTTTTGCTTTACCAAAAATTTGTTTTTGGCCTCCGAAAACAAGGGAACTCTTTTTATGTATTGGAGGAAAGCCATAAAGAGCTGGTGTTTTATTCGAGAACACCATTTTTTAAAAATTTTATTCGATAAGTGAATATGTTTTTCGCTCCAAAATGGGCACAGTTTTGTTGGAATGGCAGGAAAGCTATAAATTTTTCCTGTGCAGTAGTGGAAAACACAATTTTTTTTTCGGCCTCGAAAAACAAGGGAAGTCTTTCGTTACAATGGAGGAAAGGTATAAAGAGGTGGTGTTGTATTCCAAAACACTCATTTTTTTTGTAATTTTATCTGATGCGTCAATATGTTTTTTACTCCAAAATGGGTACCAACTCATACGAATGGCAGGAAAGCTATGAATTTGCTGCCGCTTTATTGCAAAACACAAATATTTCAAAATGGATAAAAAAAAAAATCTGTTTTTTGGCCTCCGAAAACAAGGGAACTCGTTTGTTGTAATGGAAAAAAGCCATAAAGAGCTGCTGTTTTATTCCAAAACACATTTTTTTGTAATTTTATCCGCTAAATAAATCTGTTTTTTCCTCCAAAGTGGGTACAGTTTTGCTGTAATGGGGGAAAGCCATACATTTTCTGGTGTTTTATTCAAAAACACCATTTTTTTGTTTCGTAAAAAAAAATTAGTTTTTGGCCTCCAACATGGGTACAATTGCTTTGTCATACTAGAGGCTGGTCATAGACAGCTGGTGTTTTATTGAAAAACACCATTTTTTTTCCTGCATTACAACAAATTTGTTTTTTGCCCCCAAAATGGGTACTGTTTTGCTGTAATTGGGGAAAGTCATAAAGAGTTGATGTTTTGTTGGAAGAACAATTTTTTAAAGTTTTATCCGATAAATAATTCTATTTTTTCCGTCCAAAGTGGGTACACTGTCGGTGGAATGCAGGAAAGGCGTAAATGGGCTGGTGCTTTATTCGAACGGGACTTTATTTTCAAATTTATCCATCAATACATTTTTGTTTTTGACTCCGAAATGGGTACACTTTTTTAATAAGGGAGGAAAGCCGTTAAAAGTTGGTGTTTGTCATGTCAAAACCATGGCCAATAGATGCCATTTTAAAAATTTTTTGAAATGGTTTTAAGACAAATGGGTACTTTTTGCTTATGACGAAAGACAGCTATAAAGAACTAGTTTTTAACGGCAAAGTCATGGTTTACAGTAGGTGACCACGATCTGTTATAACAAAGTATCCCAAAAAATAATTATAAATTTGTTTCTTTTATTTTGAAACTTGTATAACCGTCGTTACAATTAAAATTTCCCTTGCTTACTCTTCAAAATCATGTACACCTAAGCAGACACTCCAAACCCCTCCGTCCCTCTCCCTTCTTTCGACATGAAATACCAGTTTTTTATGGGTTTCCTGAATCGAATTAAATGTACCAGCTTTTTATGCGCATCATTTTCCAATATGGATACCATGAACACTTTTTCAGATATCCTTTGTGTACTCAATTTGGCGTGACAAAGGTTAAATTTTCCATGAGGAATGTCAATGTTTTCATAGTTTAATCCGTGATGACAAGCAGAGAATCAACCGTGTACAGTAAAAGACGCATGACTTACAGCCCAACAAATTCCACATTTTTGTATCAGGCCTGGTGCGACAACAAAAAGTATATGTTCAGCTGACTGTAGAATATGATGCTTTGGACGTGCTAAACAAGAGCTGGCTTCATATGAATTCAGTCATTGCATACAGCTACGTAGAGCTTACAGTGAATAACAAAAAGAATAAGGTGTTTTATTCTAAAAATTTCAGAATGAAATTGAATGGAAACACAAATCAACTCCAATACCAGCATTAGTGCTGCTTTGCAACATGTATCAATTATACCATCACAGTTGTCTGTACAAATTTGGGAGAGTGTTCATTGTTCAGAAGCAGTTCAACGGG